AAAAAAAAAAAAAAAGATGTTGCTGCTGGTGTATAAGCCCCGGTCCCAGGCCACACTCCCTCAACCCAGCAGATTATTACAAAATCTCCAGAAATGCAGGAGACCCACCCCAAGTGGCTGACCATAAGATCCTGGCTTAAATGGAAGGAAGTACCTGCTTCAGTGACCCTGAACGCCGCATCACGTCTGCCTTGACTCAATGCATTAGACCTGTGTGAGATCAGCAGATATCTACCCCAACTTCCAGCCAGCTCTCCAGAACTCCTCTTACAGGTTGTGTAGATTGAGTATTACGTTTTCAAAAGAGAGGGAAAGTTGGACCCAACATTAACGTCTTGTGTTAACTTTATCAAGAACAACACTCTGTTCTTGCATAAAGAAACCGTCTATTCATCATGGAAGTAAATGAACATATTTATGGAGTCAGTGCATCTTTTAAGTTTCTTTAAATCTCTTCTTGAGTCTTAATTGCCCTAGCTCAGAGCTCCTTAAACTTCTTCCACTCATGACCCCTTTTGCCCAAGAAATTTTTATGTAACCCTGAGTATCTAGGTATATTAAACAGGTATATAAATCAAATGTTTTCTGATAATAAATCATAGCAAAATTTATTTTAAAATAATTATTTGTATGCATTATGGTTTGACCATGTATTAAAGTCAAAAGCTGCTGGGCATGGGGGTACATGCCTTTAAACCAGCACTTGGGAGGCAGAGGCAGTTGGGTTTCTGAGGCCAGCCTCGTCTACATAGGGAGTTCCAGGACAGCCAGGGTTATAAAACAGAAAGACCCTGTCTCAAAAAGAAAAAAAAAAAGACAATTTGTATACAACTGATTGATGTGCTTGTTTATTTTTACATGAAGAAGTCAGTCTTTGCTGAATATTTGATACTGTAGGATGCAAAACATATTCACCCTTTTTCAGAATTTGTTGATGTTTTGATTCTATGATTGTCAATGCTGAGAACCCTCTTCTTATAAAAATACACAAAATGGCAAGCATGTGATTAAGGCCAGTCAGAAAGTTTAGGACACTACAAGAAAATTTATAAAATCGACTCACCTGGGCTCATGGGGCTTCACAGAGACTGAACCGACAGCCAGGGAGCCTTCAAGGGACTGACCGAGTCACTCTGCATATATGTGACAGTTGTGTAGCTTGGTCCTCTTGTGGGACTCCCAACAGTGGGAACAGGGGCTGTCTCTGACTCTCTTCCTGGCTTTCGGAACCCTACTCCCCATACTGGGTCACCTTGCCCAGCCTTAATACATGGGGAGGTGCTTAGTCTTATGGCAACTTGATACGCCATGTTTTGTTGACACCCATGGGAGCCCTGCCCTTTCCTGAACAGAAATGGAGGAGGAGTAGATTGGGGGGTGGGGACAGAGGAGGGTGGAGGGGAGAGACTGGGAGGACAGGAGAGAGGGGAAACTGTGGCTGGGATGTAAAATAAATAAATAAATAAATAAATAAATAAATAAAATATTTTTAAGAAAGAAAAAGAAATAAATAAAGTTTAGGAAGTCTGTCCTAGTCCCAAATGAATATTCATTCGGAGAAGAATGACTCTAAGAAAGTATTTCAAGTCTTTGTTTCCTGTAATTACCATCATTCTTAAGCGTGCAGATATCAAACTAGTGTAACTTTGGATGATGCAGTCAGAATGCTGGGCCTTGAAAATGCTGCTTGAGTTGCTGATGACTTTTCTAAGAGTGCACGGTGAGTTTTCATTTGGATGAGGACTTGCATTGCCGGGATCCATTTGTTCTCTCGTTACTTCTCTGTGAAGTTCTTTAATTTGTCTTTGTACCCGTGGCTGTTTGAAGTACCTGGGACATAGAACTCACTAAGTGATTGCATTTTTGGTTGAGAGCCTTGCCTTGAACGGCTGAGCCATCTCTCCAGCCCTACTAAATGATTATAAACTCCATTTACTGGCATGCTCAGGGAATGGAGCTGTTAAGGTAAATTACATATCTAATTGATTCGTTTATAAAACTTTTGGTACCTGACAGTTTTTATAAAAGGGTCAAAATATCTCTCTGCTTTAGTATTTTATAACAAAATGATATTCATACTGAGAATTTGGACCCTACTGTAATTTCATTCTGAAATAAATATAATCATCAAGTTGATACAGATAGCCTTTAGTATTCCTGAGATAAATGGGCTACATTATGGTGACTTCTGACTCTTCCTTAAAAAATCAGATTTACACGCCTCCTTTCAATCCACTGTAGTAAACTCTAGTTGAAGGGCCGGGGAGTGTAATTCCAAGTACAGTTCGTAGGTCCTTCTGTTGTGTGACTAGAGTGGGCGTAAGTGAGGAGACCGTGACGCGCTGGCAGGCGTGAATAACCTGAACAGTTTTTTTCTCTCTTTCTGATAAAAATTCCAGTTACTTAGAGGTCAGTTGTTGAGTTTTTCTGCCTTTTGAGTGTATTTAATTACTAATCCTTCGCATGCCGTTCATCATCTCTAGCCAGGCATCCTGTTCAGACTGGCAGACACCATCAAGAGCTGGACTTTTTCTTCTCAGTGCAGTAGGAAGGATGCCTTACTCCACAAGTTGGTGAGTGTCCGTTCCTTTCCTTTGTTTTCTTACCCCTCCAGGGTCCTGTACAATGGACCATCGTGAGAGAACCGAGGAACCCGAACCTGCTCTGCTATGACCTTGATGCCATTGATCTTTTTAGAAATTCTGCTACAGTAACCGGGGGCCTTTAAACGGGCTTGCGGGCATTGTTCATATTTCTTAGAAAAGGTGGCCATGTTCCGGGGTTACTGATGCCCTGTTTGTTAGACTGCTAATTCACTGCCATCTCAGGAAGGAAATAAACGTAACGATTGGCACGGCCAGTCCAGTCCTGAGGGACTGAAACTCACACTTCCCAGAGTCAGTACTGATGGCTTTTCTGCTTCCTGTAA